CGGGTCGCTGTGTGGGATTTTCGGGCTCTGAGGCCAACGGGGAGCTGCTCCCTATGACAGCAGGACATATGGGCTAACGTGCCTGCTGGGAGCCTCGTTTATGTCTCTGCACGTTCTGGCTAGCCAGTAGTCTGTGCGAGATGCCGACCCACTCGGGGGCAGCAGGGGAGGCTTCCAGGTTGCATGCCATGACATTTCTCGTGTGTTCAGGTTCAGGACCGACAGCAGCCGTCCCAGTTTGTAGGATGGATCGAGGAGTTTCGGAGGTTATGTCGGATGGATGCGATTCGGCACATTTTCTCATTTCGGAGCAGATGAGCTGTTCTTCGTCAGTCTATGCGGACGACACGAGTGAGTTCATGAACAATGATCTTTCTTCGAATGCGACGTCTCATTGCATCTCGGCGGAGGTTTATTCTGAGCAGATGAGCTGTTCTTCGTCAGTCTATGGGGACGACACGAGTGAGTTCATGAACAACGATCTTTCTTCGAATGCGACGTCTCATTGCATCTCGCCGGGGGTTTATTCTGATCCGGATTCTGCACTCATGGAAGATGAGGCAGAGATCAGCTCGCAGTTCATTCAGTCACCAGTCAAGGACGCTGCTCCTCGTCCACCACCGGAATCGGCACCGAAGAGGCCCAGGAGACGTTTGCGCATGATGGATGAAGATTCTGATGGAGTTCGAGTGAAGATTCTCCCCAGTCCTAAACGTCGCTTCACGCAAAGCATGGAGGGCACTCGAATTTTGGGTGATGACTTCTACACCTGTAATCGTGCTTCGCTCATACTTGCTTTCCTTCAGAAACACGGGAAACGCCTGGTGAAGGAAAAGCCCGGACCTAAGAAGAGGTTTCCGAGTACACTTGCTTTGGTTCGCCATGTCTTGAAGACGGCGAAGAAATCCTGAGGACGTTAAGTGCCGAGACTTGATCAGGTCCGCCGATAAAAAAAAAGAGACTCCGCGTCTTGCAATTGGATTGCTCTGTTGCTTGGATTGCTTTGGGGTTACTGATACCTGCGTTTAGTGGCGTGCTGCGCTTGCTTTTGATGAGCCTCCTCGCATGCCTTGACCTAAACCTGAACAGCGGGCTGGCCGAGGGGGGCCCTAGAAACCTGCCGGGTTCCACCAAGTTGGGTCGTTGGTCCTAAAAGGGAGGCCGCTTGAGTTGTGTTGTAAAGAGAAGGGTGAGATAGTGCCTTCTTCAGTTCTTGCCTGTGCTCACTTTTGCGCGCAAGTGGCCCTGGGATCAGGTCTATCGTTGATCGTTTGGCATGGCCTGTAACTGTAGTGGCAGCATAGCATCCTGCTGTAAGTTACCACTACCCCAGCCGCCAGCTGTGCCTTGAGCCTGCTACTCACGGTGGTGATGTTAGCCTGTGCCCAATCCCGGAGCTACATGCTTCGCCACTGATGCCTGAGCGGCCACTCGTGGTGGCCACCCTTGAGGCCAACGCCCCAAAGCCCGAGGGGTATGACAGCGGGGCGATGCGCTAATGCGCCCGCTGGGGGTGGCCTGAACAGAGGGCCGGTGCGTCCGTACCTCGCCGGCGGATCCGGTGAGGGAGACCCGTTGATTGATTCGCTTGCTTTGTTCAGCGGCCTTACCGACGAACTAGTTCTTGAAGATTGTAGTGTCTCTGTTGTCATATCGACCTTACCAACAAGTCGCGGTGTGTCCAGTTTTGATTCACCAGCCGCGCTTGCATGCCGATGGCCGGGCATGGGGTCGCTTTGGGGGACCGTGGAAGACGGAACCGAACGAGGACTCGGGGCCAACCACCAGAGCGGACACCTGGTGATGACAGCCAGGCAAATGGGCTAACGTGCTGGCTGGGTCCGAGGTCGGCACCCGAGTGTCCTGCTCTGCAACATGGGAGGCCGAATCGAGTATTATAGCAATTACGTCAGGTTGTGATTCAATTTGTGAAGCATCACTGCTTGGAGTTGTTGCAATGCCTCTACGCAGCCGCCTTGCATCAGGTGATTGCTCGCGCTCTACAGCGACGTCCATCTATGCTTTGGTGCCCGAGCCCTATTGAAGCATGCAGTCTTTGCACATGGTAACTTGCCTCCTGCGACATGATGGTCGGTCAACGAAGCATTTGGCTCCGTGGACGTTCATAGTTTCCCGGGGAATCGCTGAATCGGCGCCGTCTCGCGAAAGCTCACTTGCTCGATGGCTGATTTCTGTGATTTTTTAACAAAATTGCGGCTGGATTCTCACGGTGCTAAATGGATAGACGTGCACACTGTGAGGAACCAGCATCGCACGTCGCATGGTACGGAGAGACGGTCTTCGGAACGAAGCCGCAGATGCAGGGTTCCAGACATGGCTCGACACTGAGATGCAAAGGTTTGAGCGATGGTGCGAGATTCGGCAAAAACCGTTTTCAGCGTGGCCAAGTGCCTCTCCGCGGCAAGTTTGGCCTAAAGCCCCTCCGCGGCAATCCAACACCGCGGGCGGAGGCTGTGCTGCTGCTGCTGGCGCTGGCATTTCCTCTCAGACATTTCGAGTTCATTGGGCAAGAAATGTCCCCCCGCCACCCCCGTCGCCGCCGGACGTTGCGAACGAAGGCTGTGGTCCTAGTTCTGCTTCACGGACACCGGGCTCCGGTGTTACATGGGCAAGTGCTCCTTCGCGGACACCCAGCACTGCGGCCGGAGGCCCTGGCCCTTCCTCCACTCCGAGGTCACCAAGCCCTACGGCCGCAGAGACAGGCGAAGTTCCGTGCGATACCTCGTCGTCAAGCAGCATGTCTAGTGACAGTAGTGATACATCGGTGGAGTACACACCTTGTGAAAACCAGCCTCATTGCCCCCGCTGGCAAAAAAGGCATGGACATCTGGATGAAGATCGTCAACTGGAGTACAAATTTCTATATGCGGCCAGCGCTGGCTGTGTGCAGTGCATGCAGTACTACGCCAGCCTCCCTAACTTCGATGTGCACTGCTCCTCTTCGGAAAGGAACGCTCGCGGATGGGCGGAAGACCCCGATCAGCAGATGGAGGACTTCTTACGGCGTCTGGGGCTCTGAAGCTTGCTCTTAGAAGTAGGCGAAGTTGCTCACCGCGTGCAGCCGAATCGACGCTGTCTTGCGAAAGTTCGGTTGCATGGGACCAACATCGCCTTTCGCCTGCTTGTAGCAGCCATCCTGCAAAGACACGGCCAGACCCTAAGGAGCAGGGACTTCTGGGGATGTGTTTGGGATACTTCTGTTCTGGATTCGATCATTTTGTCGGTCTTCTATGTCTATAAGCGAATCCATTGGGCCCGTGCAGAGAATCCCTGCAGACGCAGCAAGCAAGGCTTTGCAAGAATCAACGCAGCTTGTAGTGGCTGGTAAGACTGACCGGACTATAAGTTACCTAAGTGAGGCCTTTAATTCGGACGGGTGTTCAGACTCATTTACCGTACCAGACAAAGTGATGGGGAAGTAAAACCCCCGCAATTATTATGAGTGACTAAACTTGATTGTAAGGCCCCGACCCAGTGCAGTCGTTGGAACTCATCAATGGCACGCAACATGTGGTGACCACTTCGAAGACCCAAGACAAGACCTATCCACGACTTCGACGGAGTCTCTCCCGAGCATGGTCTGTTCCAGAGCCCGTGTGCATTTCCGACGTGGAAGAAGACGGCTTGCTCGGCACTCCGTCAGAGCGATGCGCCGCGGACTCGCGACGTGATGGCCGCGAATATCAAAAAGCTATGGGACGTTGACTTGACTCTGAAGCCGTCTTCAGCAGTTCTTCTACAACAGTGCCCATCCGCCGAGGACCCACGGGCCAATCCTTTCACGCCTGTCCTCCTACTCACGGAGAAATGTCGACCTGAAGCTCAAGGCTCGTTCTTCCTCTTCCTCCCTTTGTTGCTTCATTGCATTGCTGCTGGAATCACTGCTCCCTACTAGTGCTGCGTCTTAATTCTAGAGGGGTTTCGCAAACCCGTTTTTGGCGCTCGTCCTCGTGCGGCCCAGGTGCACAGATGCTGCCGCACCCTCATCGCAGTTGGGTTTAGGTCCCTAAGAACCTTAACCCGCAGTGAAATCGCATGTGAAAACAAATCACACGTGGTTTCCCTAGGCTGCCGTTTGCCTGCGTGCTCGTTCTTCCATCCGAGTCCTTTCTCGACTCTCGTCACCATGCCTCTGGAGGTTCCAAGCCAGGATTTGCAGCTACTGCTGGCTCCGTACTTTGACCTGATTCCAAAGCCCTCCCACGAATGTAAGTTGTGCTCGCCCTCCAAGTATCGAAGCCATGATGATCGTTGTCCGACGAGCAGAACGTGGGTCCTAGGCAAACCTCGGTGTCGCGGTAAGTTGCACCCCAGTGAATAAACCCCGCATCATGCTCTGGTCTATACCTTCCGTACTTTCAGCTATTGCGAAAGCCCTTCGATGAATGCGAGTTGCCCTTGCCCTCGAAGTGTCGGAAGAATGATGATCGGTGTGCGCCTGCTCGGTCTGTATGTATGTTCATAGACCATATGGTCGACGAGCAGGACATAGGCCCCACCCGGACCCTCATCATGCTCTCTTGTAGATGGTAAGCCTGTCAAGCTTCCACACAATAACCCGACCCTCGATTTGTGAGTCGGGCCTTCCTGTTCGGATTTGGATTCTTCGGTGGTTTGGGCATTGGTCTGGCTGCCCAGGCCTTTGCCGAGTCGCGTCATTGCCATGGCGCCAGGTGCCCGGGAAAAAGGGGTCTCTGCGTACTTAGTCACCTCAAGAGCGAAAACCCCTGACGCTCTGCGACGAAGCTTTGGCTGCATTGGCATTGCCGAGTCGACGCTGTCTTGCGAAAGCTCGGTGCCTCCTTAGAACTTCATTCATTGCCGAGTCGACGCTGTCTTGCGAAAGCTCGGTGCCTCCCTAGAAGTTCACCGGTGCCATGGCGTTAGCCACGGAAACACGTGACGAGATCTTTTTCCACGTGGTTGGGCTGTCCGGCAACAGCAGCTCACACAGCATCCCATTGCACGCCAGCTGGAAAATGCACTTGGATGCCCTGCTCAACCCCGACGGCACTGATGATCTGCAGTACTGCATCGGAACCGAGCAAGTCCTCGATCATCGCTTGGTTGCTGACCTTGCCCACCAGGACACCGTGGTCAGCGTGCTTCGCACACGTCGGCGAGTACGAGTCCGAGTGTGCGTTCCGAAGGATGGCCAGTCCTACAACGGCATCATGGCGAGCGTCGTGGAGCTGGATGACGTGGACGTGATGTTGCCGTGCGACTGTGCCTCCTTGCGCTCTCTGATGCAGCCAATGGAGACAGCGACTGAAGGGTTGGATAACACCATGCTCGGAGGCGCAGCTAAGCTGGCCTTGAAGCGATGCTTAAGCGTAAAACAAATCGCTCGACGTCAGCTGGAGGAGTTCCCTGCCGAAGGCCGCTACATCTTCCTGAACATCGTCTTCGCGGACTGGGGCCCCCGTGTGCGAGCCCACATCACGGGAGAAGTAACCATGTCCCTGCCCGGCAGCACTTCACTGTTCGCGCTCCGCAACCATCCCGAGCCTTCCCAGCTGACGTCCGAAGCGATTCACTGCGGTCGCCTGGCCGACCTCATGCTGATGGAAGCTCACGCGGACCGCTGACGTGTGCATTGCTTTAAGCCGTGAGTGTAAAAACGTGTGACCACGCGGCCTGAGACCGTTTCGGAGCTTCGTGCTATAGCCTCTTCTCACACCCAATTCGGCTGTGCAGGCACATTCCTGAGCGGTGAGTTGCTGCGCCGCACTCGCAAGGTCTCGGCTCGCTGGCCAGGCCAAGCCGCAACCAATTCTTCGGCCGCAGCACGGCAGTCTGGGCTGCTCGTCGTCGTCAGCAGTTGTTGGTATGTAGGCACGTCACCTTATGTTCTATCGTGCTTGACGATATCTAGCTCTGATTTCTATTTGCTTCGAAACTGCGTGCAGCCGAATCGACGCTGTCTTGCGAAAGTTCGGTTGCATGGGTGCTGTGACATTTACGTGCGTCGTGCTACACACAAAGCCCCGGGGAAGTACGGGAAGTTGCTCACCGCGTGCAGCCGAATCGACGCTGTCTTGCGAAAGTTCGGTTGCATGGGTGCCGTGACATTTCCGCACCTCGTGCGACATGGAAAGCACCGGGAAGAAAAATGACGCTATTTAGTTTTCTCTCTCTCTCTCTCTCTCTCTCTCTCTCTCTCTCTCTCTCTCTCTCTCTCTCTCTCTCCGCCGTGTTGGCATGTTTGGCAGAGACAGACTTGCATGGCAGTTTGAGGGAGAAGATCAACACTAAAGCATGAATTTTGGCCTGCTTGGGGCTGAGATATTGCTGTGACTCAGGCTGCCGCCAGCAGTTCCAGCAAGCTCGCTCGGACGTGTGTACCTCACCAACATCGCCTTTCGCCTGCTTGTAGCAGCCATCCTGCAAAGACACGGCCAGACCCTAAGGAGCAGGGACTTCTGGGGATGTGTCTGGGATACTTCTGTTCTGGATTCGATCATTTTGTCGGTCTTCTATGTCTATAAGCGAATCTATTGGGCCCGTGCAGAGAATCCCTGCAGACGCAGCAAGCAAGGCTTTGCAAGAATCGAAGCAGCTTGTAGTAGCTGGTAAGACTGATCGGACTACAACTTACCTAAATGAGGCCTTTAATTCGGACGGGTGTTCGGACTCATAATTATTACCCTACCAGACAGAGCGATGGAGCGCGGAGTCGGCTTGCTCAGAGACGAAGTGCCGCAAAGGTTTGGCTGGTCTTGTGATCCGACAACTCAGACAGACAGAAGGCCAGCGGGGCATGCGCGACGTTATGGCCGACAAGATATGGATGATATGGACTCGACGAGATCGGAAGCCAAGAAGAGGTACATGCTGCCGGTCTTATTGGCTTCAAGGGAGTCTCATTGGTCGATCCAACCGGCCGATCCTTCCACGCCTCTCCTCCTACTCACGGAGAAAGACCATGAGCGCGTCGACGTGAAGCTCAAGGCTCGTTCTTCCTCTTCCTCCCTTTTGTTGCTTCATTACATTGCTGCTGGAATCACTGCTCCCTACTAGTGCTGCGTCTTAATTATAGAGGTGTTTCGCAAACGCGTTTTTGGCGCTCGTCCTCGTGCGGCCGAGGTGCACAGATGCTGCCGCACCCTCATCGCAGTTGGGTTTAGGTCCCTAAGAACCTTAACCCGCAGTGGAATCGCATGTGAAAACAATTCACACGTGGTTTCCCTAGGCTGCCGTTTGCCTGCGTGCTCGTTCTTCCATCTGAGTCCCTTCTCGACTCTCGTCACCATGACGCCTCTGGAAGCCCCAAGCCAGGATTTGCAGCTACTGCTGGCTCCGTACTTTGACCTGATTCCAAAGCCTTCCCATGAATGTAAGTTGTCCTCGCCCTCCAAGCATCGAAGCCATGATGATCGTTGTCCGACGAGCAGAATGTAGGTCCTAGCCAAACCCTCGGTGTCGCGGTAAGTTGCACCCCAGTGAATAAACTCCGCATCATGCTCTGGTTTATACCTTTCGTACTTTGAGCTAATGCGAAAGCCCTCCGATGAATGCGAGTTGCCCTTGCCCTCGAAGTGTCGGAACCATGATGATCGGTGTTCGCCTGCTCGGTCTGTATGTATGTTCATAGACCATATAATCGACGAGCAGAACATAGGTCCCACCCGGACCCTCGGTATCGGGGTAGGTTGCACCCCATGAAATAAACCAACATCGTGCTCTCTTGTAGATGGTAAGCCTGTCAAGCTTCCACACAATAACCCGACCCTCGATTCGTGAGTCGGGCCTTCATGTTCGGATTTGGATTCTTCGGTGGTTTGGGCATTGGTCTGGCTGCCCAGGCCTTTGCCGAGTCGCGTCATTGCCATGGCGCCAGGTGCCCGGGAAAAGAGGTCTCTGCGTATTTAGTTACATCAAGAGCGAAAACCCGTGACGCTCTGCGACGAAGCTTTGGCTCCATTGCTGTTCATACCCCTTTGATTGCCGAGTCGACGCTGTCTTGCGAAAGCTCGGTACCTCCCTAGAAGTTCATTCATTCGAAGCTTTGGCTTCATTGCTGTTCATACCCTTTTGATTGCCGAGTCGACGCTGTCTTGCGAAAGCTCGGTACCTCCCTAGAAGATCCTAGAAGTTCATTCATTGCCGAGTCGCCGCTGTCTTGCGAAAGCTCGGTGCCTCCCTAGAAGTTCACCGGCGTTAGCCATGGAAACACGTGACGACGTCTCTTTCGACGTGGTTGGGCTGTCCGGCAACAGCACCTCACACAGCATCCCATTGCACGCCAGCTGGAAAGTGCACTTGGATGCCCTGCTCAACCCCGACGGCACTGATGATCTGCAGTACTGCATCGGAACAGAGCAAGTCGTCGATCATCGCTTGGTTGCTGACCTTGCCCACCAGGGCACCGTGGTCAGCGTGCTTCGCACACGTCGGCGAGTGCGAGTCCGAGTGTGCGTTCCGAGGGATGGCCGGTCCTACAACGGCATCATGGCGAGCGTCGTGGAGTTGGAGGACGTGGACGTGATCCTGCCGTGCGACTCTGTCTCTTTGCGCTCTCTGACGCAGCCAATGGAGACAGCGACTGATGGGCTGGACGACAGCACGCTCGGAGGCGCAGCCAAGCTCGCCTTGAAGCGATGCTTAAGCATAAAACAAATCGCTCGACGTCAGCTGGATGAGTTCCATGCCCAAAGCCGCTGCATCTTCCTGAACATCGTCTTCGCGGACTGGGGCCCCCGTGTGCGAGCCTACATCAGGGGAGAAGTAACCATGTCCCTGCCCGGCAAAAAGGACAACAGGGGCGATAAAGGCAACAGGGAGCAACACGGGGCAACATGGGCAATAGAGGCAACAGAGGCAATGGGGCCAACAGGGCCAACAGGGGCAATAGAAGCAATAGGGGCAACAGCGGCGCCAACAAAGGCATCAGGGGCAAAGGTAACAAAAACAACAAAGGCTTACGCGCAACAGATACACGGCAACACGGGCAACAGGAACAACAGAGAACAGGACAACAGGGTTAATAGAGCCAACAGAGCCAATAGAGACAATAGAGGCAACAGAGACATGCAGGCAGCAAAGCGAACAGAGTCAACAAAGGCAACAGAAGCAACAGAGGCAATAGGGACAACAGAAGCAATGAGGCAACAGGCCAACAGAAGGCACAAAAGAGAAGCAACAGCGACAACAGCGGCAACAAGGCAACAGAGAGAACAGAGCCAACAGAGGCAACACAACAAAGGCAACAGAGGCAACAGAGCCAGCAGAGGCAATCAGGGCTTGCAGACCTCGACGCTTTGCTTTTTGGAAGAGAGGAGACAGAGAGAAAGAGTTGCTCAAGTCTGGACTTCTTATTGGGTTGCTCTCAAGGTGACAATCCGGCCTAATGGCGCAGAGATTTCCATCGTAAGAGAGAAGCTTGCGCAGAGTTGGCCGGTTTTGGATTCTGCATCCGCTGGAACCAAGACATCGTCGAGAAGCTGCAGGGCCTGCCTTCAGGGCAAAGACCGAGGCTGGACAAGATCATCGCCAGAGTGAAGGCAGAGCCAACTGTCAACTGTTCAATCTATCTGCCCTCGTGTGTGCTGCAAGACCGGAGAGCTCCGCTGACCGGAGACAAAGTGTACCGCACGGCCAAGTTGTAAATCAGGCCCTTTGATGCAACAGGGGGAACAGGGACAATGGGGGCAAACAGGGGTAACAGGGTTTCAGAGGCAACAGAGGCAGGGCAAACACAACAGAAGTAAGAAAGGCAACAGAGACAACAAAGGGGGGACAACAGGAGCGAGCGTCTCTGATGTAACAAGGAGAAAGCTTACGGCAGCAGGCTGTGCAACTGTGTTCCAGAATTGGTCCCAGCAAGAGATGGAGGGTGGGAGCCCAATAAGGCCGTGCACACGAAAGAGTCATTGGAGCATTGCAACGGCAGCACTAACAAAAGAAAAACAAAGTGCGCAGCACTCGATCTTCTTCTTGAGCTAAAAACATTCGAAGCAAAACGAAAGCAGTTCTTCCATTTGAGGCAGACCGAAAAACCTGTGTTGCGGAAGCGGCAGCGGGTCTGTGTTGCGCAGAGATGTGGATTTGACGGAGAAAACAATGCATAGTGGGCAAAGCAGCTGTTACTATGCTAGAAGGCAAAGGGCATAGCAGCGTGATTTGAACATTGCCATGGATTCTGAGGTGTTCCAAGGGCGAACAGAGAGATTACAGTGCATGTAAATCCCCTGGTGCCTCTATTGCCCGTGTTGTCCCGTTGCCTCTGTGCCTCTGTGTTCCTGTTGGCCCTGCAGGCCTTGTTGCTCTGTTGCCTCTGTTACCTCTTGCCTCTCTGTGTCCTTGTGGCCTTGTCAGCCTTGTTGCCTGTTACCCTCATTGCTTATGTTGCCTCTGTTGCCCTGTTGTATTGCCTTTTATTTGGCCTTGTTGCCTCTGTTGTCTTTTGCCCTGTTGCCTCTGTTGTCCCTGTTGCTTCTCTCTGTGCCTTTGTTGCTTGATTGTTGTCTCTGTCATTTTTCTGTTGTTTTATTCTTTCCTTGGTTGACCTTCAGGACCTGGCTGAGGGCGTTTGCGAGCTTCCACGGTTTGTAGATTGTGCAGAGTTACAGAGTGCGCCATAGCAGCT